GCCGGAGATCAGGTCTGACCTTCCATTTACACAGCGACCCACACACAGAGACAGAATGAATAATCAAGAAGTAGTTAAATGGCAAACAAGTGAGAATAAAAAAAATAGCAGAAAAACCAATGGACGATGCTGCAAATGCTCAAAAAAAAAATTAAAAAAACTCAGCTGCAGCTGTCTCGCCTTTTATCTATAGCCTCCTCTCTCTCTCTCTTTCTCTCTCTCTCTAAAGCCTAAAGCTTGGCACTCGAATTCAAATTTACGTTTTGAGGTTACCCTGGCAACAAAGTGAATACAAGCAATTCGCGCTGCAAATGTTCAGCATCAAATAAAACTCAAGCAGCAGCCGAACGGGGCAAAGAATCAGCCTCAACCTCAAAAACAGCTGTTAATCGACAGCAGCAAAAAGCACACATAACAGTCACAACACACACACTCATATATATATACATACATATATGTAGGCACATATATGCATGTATTAATTTGGCTGTGCATAAAGCTTGGCATAAAAAAAAAAACACAAAATCTAATTTGCAAATGTTTTACAAATAAAAACTAGCAAACATTATACATACACATACACACATAGTTTTTTTTTTTTTAGTTTAAGTTTGATTTAAGCATGTATTCATGCATATTGAATTTTAAAATATTTTAGTTTATTTTCGTTTTATTCAGTTACGCTAAGCAGTCCTTCACAGCGCCAGCTAACGGACCAACGTATTATTGATTATTGATCGCAATTAAGACAATTCGTTTCGCTCATTAGCTGACCTTGGCCTGTGCATTAAACAAAAATCTAAGCCTTCTACTGTCTAAAACAAGTACTTGAAAATTCATATAAAATCCTGTTTCCTTATTTATGCGCATATCTAAAACGTTTAATTTATTTACTCTTGATTGCATATTTTATTTTATATATTAGATTCAGCTCTGTACATGTTTCATCCTTGGATGGGTCACTCAACTTTTGCAAATCGTGAATTGATTCTCGTTTTATAATCTAAATGGAATTTCACTTTAATTTTTGAGTTTACTTCCTCTTTGGCCAATCAGAAATTCTATTTATGTTTTATTTGATGTCAGTTCTAGCTGATTTGTTTTTGTCGCTAATCACTAAATTTCCATCATTTCACTTTTGGTTCCTTTTGCATTTGAATTTGCTATGGGCTTAGCTATATGATTTTGAACTGGTTCTTTTTGACAATTTCCTGATTCGATTAAGCTGTTTCATCATATTTCTTTTTTAATAATATCTCAGATATGTAGGTAAAATTTGATAGAAGAATGTTTTAATAAGTTTTTTATGCTCTAATCAAATTTATGCAACAGGTACTATGATTCTGGTTTTTAATTATACATTAATTATGTATATAAATCCCATGTAGGCTCAACTATTTCCTGGTCTCAGTGCTAATTGAGGTTATTAAAAAAGCTTCCCTACAACCTTTTACGATTCGCTATCGTATTTTAAGTACCCCAACATATTCTTTTGCCCGACTCAAAGAAACCAAAACACATCCATCAACTCATCTACATAGCCATCCATCGTGAGCTGCGATCACGTAGCGTACTTCACAAATACGTATTGTTGTGACTTTAAGCGTAAAGTGGCACTTGGACTTCGACTGTATAAATACATATGTATATATGTACATACATACATACATACAAGCACATGCTTACGATGTTTTGGATCTCATTTTTGGAATAAACAAAAGCAAGCAACATGAACAACAACACCAACATTATTGCCAGCGAACTAAAACATAAAAATGAATAGTTGAGTCGAGCTAGAAAAACCAGTTTCTTTTGCTAGAACTGTTGCACACTTGACGAATGAGATCGAGAACGAGATCGGAGCTAGTTCGCTCAATATGGTGCACCAGTTTCTTGCGGCTGCATGGGCACCTTGCGAACTATATAAGTGTGTATGTGTGTAGGCATATATGTATATTTACTGTATATAAATATACATGTGTGCTTGTATATATAAAAGCACATTTAGCCCAGGCAGCAGGCTATTTTGGGATATCTTCACACACACACACACGCACAGAGAATCAAGTTGCTTCCTGTCAGAGCGCAAACGGCAGCAGCAAACGCATCAATCGGCTGTCGGCACAAATGACACATTTTCGGAACCAGAACCTGAGCCACAGCCGAGAGCTGAGAGCTGAGAGCTGAGTCGAGAGCCGAGCCCAGTCAGGAAGTCTAAAAATGAATAAAACCGGTGCGAGTCGAGCCTTTCTGAGCTTCGGAGCTGGTGAGTGAACGCACTCAAGGATAACTGACAACGCACACATATGCATATGCTATATTTGTAGTACATACATACACATTGGTATGGCCCCTTGGTGGGCGTTGCTGCTGCTGCTGCTGCTGGGAGTGTGCGGGCTACGACATAATATGAATCCAATCAAGTTGACGCTTTTGACAATCGCGGAAACGTTTAACGAAACCAAACGCAACGTGATCTCAGCCGTTAATTTTATATGTTTGCATTAACATGTTAACACAGGTAGAGTCAAAAAACGCTCAACAACGTGGCCCAAATATTAATCGCCATCTCATCAGACAGATATATGTATGTATGTATAAAAATAAGAATAATAATAATAATAAGCTAGCTAAAAATACTTGGTTAGACACCAAATCAAATCGACGGAAATTTTGTTATCGTTGTCTTGGGTGCTTGGCTCTGGAGCTGATAAGATAACAAAACAGAGGAAGTGAATATATGTGAAATGTATCGTAGAAAATGTAAAAATAGTTGTCTAATGTGTGCAGATACTATAGAAACTTATTTAATGTTGTTTTTGTTGTTTCTTTTAATTAGAGAAGTTTTCAGATCAAATTGTTTGTTATTCTAATTCACGTTGCAAAATAGCTGACTATATTTTAATAGAAAGTGCCAAGATTTTAATAATACTATTTAAACATAACATTAATAATTCTACAGAATAAAAAACATAATAATCGATAACAATAAACTTTGACAAATATTTAACATAGTACATACTAAATATTGACTTGACAGAAACAAACAAAATACTTGTAAAGTGTATATTTATAAATAAAAAGAATTATAAATACACACTTAACAAGAAATTGCACATACATACTTATACAGACACTCACGCACACACAAACCAAACAGTGGCAGGGCAAACGAAGCCAAATGCAACAGCGCAATTGCAGTGCGCCAATGTCAAGCCAGTGCAGTCAAAGCTTAAGAACTTTATTATGCATAAAGCGTGCCACAGTCGCAGGGAGCTTGAGGTATATACACCTACAAGCACACACATACATGTTATGCATGTGTGTACATTTGTATTTGTTTGTGTTTTGGCTCTGTTGCTGAGCAAACCACTCTCTCGCTCTATGCTTCTCTGAACTCTCTCTCTCTGTCTCTCATTCTTTCAGCTTGATAGCAGCTCAAGTATGTATGTGTATGTTTGCGAGTGTATGTGTGTGTAGAATTTTATTGATTAGTCACAAGGCTGGCAGCACTGCAACAGCAACAGCAACAGCACCAGCAGCTGAGTTGCGCCATGAATTTTGCTTGCAAGTTGCAGTTAGGTTGTCTGTCGCCCACGCATCTGCGACAGTGGTATCGACAGCCTTTGACAATTGCAGCGCAGGTACTCACCTTCAATAGAGGCAGGTTATCATCGCGTGCAGCATTGAATATGATGAATTTGTCATCCATTTTCGAATTTGTGTTTGCTGTCGACTCAATATTACATAAATAATAACTTTGAAGCCTCACTCAGAATTTTGTTTTGTTTTTAATTTATATGCTTAGCAAACAGCCAAAAAATGATTTGTTTTTAATAAATTTTCTGCTGCTGCTTTCGTCGTTTGGTTGCGAGATTGAGATTTTTCACTGCCTGCTGTGGATGTTGTTGTTATTGCTGATGTGAACTGCTAGTAATTTATTTGTATGTATTTATGTATGTATGTTGGTATTTCTCGCACAAAGAACTTTCAACCGAAAATAAATATACAATTCTTTCAATAATTGCACAATTATCGTCAGTCAACGTTATTGCTGCGTTTTTATTGCTCTGCTTCCGTGATTTGTTGCATTTTTCTTATTTTTTCTGCGCACTCTTCTTCGGTGGCAGCGGCGACGGCGGCCAAAAGCAGGAAGACCAATTTCTTTGTACTATTTATCTTTTGTTGGGTGCGCGGCGCGTTAAAAAATCAACTGCATTTAAATTACGTCGCGCCAATCTTCTGTTGCTTACACTCTGCGCCAGCTTAGTTTCTTGCGTTTTAATTTTTAATTTTATTTATTTAAAACACACAAACAATCACGAGCGGCACGGTCGCGCGACGTCACGCACGGGCAAGAAAAATATTACTGAAAAAAACTCTGTTAACTTTTTCTTATAAGAGTGATCGAATAATATTATAGTGATGGGCACGTGAGCAAAGAGCCACACTGGTATTCTCACGACCAAAGTAGCACAATTCATGTCCACTAAATTATATACTGATGATTGAAAAAGCATTCAAAATATAAATATTATTACGAATCATTTATACAATTTCTACAAATTATATGTTCATTACACTAGTAACATTGAAATTGCGTGTGTAATAGAAATTAAACATCGCACACAACACCACTCTGTTAACTCTATCGATATTCTGCTGAGTTAACATACAATAGATAAACGAAAAATAAAAATGTTCGACTGCTGAACTATCGAAATGCTGCAAAGTTTTCATCGGTTATCGTGACAATCGAGAATTCATAAATATTTAAAAACATGCCGCGCGAGTGATACGCAAGCTCTAATTTGATAGGCAGTTATTATCCGACAGATTTTTCTTAGATATAGCGAAAAATTTCTCAATGCTAGAAGCTTTGAATAGTAGCTCGTATGAATATAATTTGATAATACAATGGACCAGGAACAAATTAAAAGCGATAACATTTATTAGTTATATTCAGTCTACACTGAAAAAAAAAGCAATGTAACACGCCATTTCACATTGGTAACCACAACATCATTAATTTTTTAATGAACAAGGCTCGCGTGTACATTAGGAATTCCAAAATCATCATATAAAAGCATTTTACTAATTTACAGCCATTTTATCTTCAATCCTATGCTTTGTGCATTGTTGCTGTTGTTATTTGTCACTTGGGCATACAGTTGAGAACTGATCAAATTTATTATTGCTGCTGCCGCCGCAGAAGTGTTGCTTGTTTCACTTGTATCCACTCCATTTGCAAAGCACAATAAGCGACGCCTATAAGATTGACAACACTTGTCAGTATTGAATAAAAACGGCTCAAGAGATTTGTAGTTTCTTTACGTTTTTAGAGTGTTTATTAAAAAATTAATAATTTGTGGTTCATCAAGAAGCGTCCCCATTTTTATTGTGGCTTCCTACGGAACGAGCAGCCTAAAATTGAAAATCAATCATATTAGTGAGGTGAAATAAACAATTATTTAAAGCAATCAATTTACCTTCTGTCAGCTTGGCACGTCCTCCAGTTGGCTGGCACAGAATGGTGGCGCAACCAGCACAGACCACAACGCCCTGGGCGTGACTGAACACAGTTGTAATTCTGTAGCATCCGGGGCACTTGACATCCATGAAGTAGGAGTTGGGGTGCTGCACCAAGCGCTTTAGCTTGTGCTTGCGTTTCTCCTCAGCGGGCAGAGGGTGCAGTAAATCTTTTGCTAGCTGAAATGTCAAAACAAACAATGCAAGTTCACTATTAATCACATTTCATGTTTCTTTAAAATATTATCGAGTTCACAGTATCATTTAATATAGTATTTCACAGCTGTCTGCAAATCAACTTGGGTAGACGGTGATACGCGCGATTAACATGCGTTGCCAGCGAAAGCATAGATTGCACGGTGTTGAGCGACACACTTTTATTCGCATAATTCATGTATTGTCACAGTGAATGCTCTATTTTTAAGCACTGCGATGCAACGCGAACACTATTACATAGTTTTATCGCATGCATTTGCAAATTTTCTTTGTTTAAAAGCTTATTTTTGTAAAATTTTGCACCCACCGGCATGTTTTTTCTTTCACAGCTAACACGGAAAAGGAAGTCGGCCAAATCGCAGCCAACTTAACAAACGATAAAGTACTAAAAAAAACCCTACTAAACAGAGTTAACACAGCTTGGTGTTTTCTATTTATCGCAGGTTGACAGCCCTGTCACATTCATTCTGGCGCCTTTTTAGCACTGGCAGCTCTTCAACACTGTAGGGCACTTTCGTCTGACCGAAGTAACAAAGCAAAGAAATATTAAAGTTAACAATGTCGACGCTTGAATTATGTGAAAAGTTCTTTGAGACCCGTGATGTGTACAAGCTGATGGGCATTGCAAAAGATGCAAAAGAAAAAGATATCAAAAAGGCATACCACAAACTCTCACTGTTGGTGCACCCCGACCGAGTACCCGACGCTCAAAAAGACGAATCAACGGAGAAGTTCAAAGTGCTCTCTAAAATTTACCAAGTGCTAACCGACTCACAGAAGCGCGCAGTCTATGACGAGCAGGGCATCATCGACGACGACGACGAGGGCAAGCTCACAAACTGGCTGGACTTGTGGAGCAAGATATTCAAGCCGCTGTCCGAAGAGGACATCAGCAACTACGAGAAAGAATATGTCGGCTCTGAGCTGGAGCGTGCGGATATCAAGAAGGCATATTTGGGTGGCAAGGGCTGCATGAACTACATTATGAATCATGTGCCGTTCATGAAAGTCGAAGACGAACCCCGCTTCAAAGAGATTGTGAACAGCATGATTGCATCCAATGAGGTGCCCGAGTACAAGATCTTCACGGAGGAGCCAGCCGCCAAGCGTAATAAACGCCACAAGAAATATGCTCGCGAATCGAAAGAGGCGGTCATCATCAAGGAGCGTATTCAGCGACGTCGCGAAAAGGACGCTGAGGCGGAGAAAGAGATGTCTGGCGATGGAAATCTAGAACAAATGATATTGGCGCGCAAAAATCAACGCGAATCAAATTATAATTCACTAATGGATCGCTTGTTGGAGAAATATGCCGGGGAAGATGATTCCGACACAGTTGACTTTAGCACATTCGACAAGAAGAAGAAGCTGAAGGTGAAAACCCCGTCGAAACATCCACAAAAGTCGGCAAAGATAAATAATGTAAAGAAGGGACGGGTGGAGAAGCCAAAAGCTTAAATGTATTTGTAGTTTTATAATCTCAAAATTCGTTTAGTTTTAATTATATCTACAGATATGTACTGATAATCATAAAAATAAAAACATAAAAAAAACTAACTACTCTAGCTGGCCTTTGCATCTACCATTTTTTTTTTCCCCATTATATCCTTTATATATAAGTATAAATCCCATGTCAGATAAATCAGAATACAAATTACTGAAACGTTTTGTGGAGTTTAGGAAATAGATATAAATACTTCGATTCATAGTTTCACTGCTAGGCAATATTACATGTATCTTAAATAAAATGACAATTACGAGATAGTAAATTAGTATGTCGTATGTCTAATTAAAATTTACCAATGTAAATATTTTAAAGCGACTTTAATTTTGCAAATATCGGTTTTGAACTGCATACAAATCGTAAGAGGTGTCAGTTGGAGATGCCAACGCGTTAAAATGTAATTAGCTCCGTTCCTTACCCTAAAATGTTATCGACTCTTTATCGCAAATAGTAAACAAAGTAGAAATTGTCGTAAACTAGACTGCTAGCACCAGCTTAAGCAATCATTTATGTCAGAGAAACGTCATCAAATGGATGAAATAAATCAGGTGCCTACTTCTGCGAGTCAATGCCGTATTTGTCTAGACGAATGCGACACTGACGCTATGCAGGCACTTTTTACAGAAAATAAGGCTACCGCAGCAGAAAGTGAGAATACGAGAGACACCAATTATGACAAGAGGCGTTTGAGTAGCAAAATAGAATACTGTTGCGGAATCAAGGTAAAAGCAAACAAGCAACAACAAATCGCACATATACATATTCTACATACTAATTTACAGATTCGTAAGGCATCGCACTTGCCATCAAAAGTCTGCAAGAAATGCTGTGATTTTATAAGCATGTGGTTCAGCTTTCGGCAAATGTGTCTTAATACACAGGTGTATTTGGAGAGCACGTATATTCATGAAGAAAAACCCCATGATCTGATTGATGCTAGCGACACCGGGTATATGGAATACCTATATGAGACCTTGCAGTTGGCTTCATGCGAAAGTTACCAAACGAGCGAAGAACTGCAAACTGGTGACACTTCACTAATAGAGAGTGATTATGTTATGGACTACGACGAGGAAAACTATGTGGCAGACATTTCATCAGCAGAAGACCAGGATCAGGAATGCGCTAAAGGAAATTTGCAAGATATTGTAACTAAACTGGAGACATTCGAGCAAAATGAGGAAGAACAAATCGAAGTTGAACAAACATACACTTTCCAATATGAAGGCCAAGAAGCGGAAGTGGACTTACCGGTCAAAGTGGAGGAAGGTGAAGTAGATTATGAAGACTTTTTGTCACCAACACCCTCTCCTGAGCCAAAACCAAGCAGCAAAATGGTTAAACGCAAACCAGGACGCCCACGCAAGCCAGACAGTGAGCTCAAGTCCAAACGAAAGAATAAAAGCGACTCACAAACGAAAAACGAGCAGCGAAATGAGGATATTACTAAATACATATGCAATCTCTGTGGCAATGTCTATCCAAAGAAGGCAGCATTTACGGCCCACATGATGGCGCACACCGACTACAAGCCACATCAATGCGAGTAAGCCACACCTACTCATATTACAGTATATTACATATTCCCCTTATGGACTATATTTATATTTCATATATTTCAGAATCTGCTCCAAGTCTTTTCGTCAAATGGGAGAATTGCGCGCTCATATACGACGTCATACTGGAGAGCGACCGTACAAGTGTTTATACTGCGATCGCTTTTTTTATGACCGTAGCGAAAAGGTTCGCCACGAACGAGTGCACACCAATACGAGGCCCTATGAGTGCAAGGAATGCGGCAAAACCTTTACGCACACGGCTATATTGAAAAATCACAGTTTGGTTCACTCCGGCGAGAAGAATTTTAAGTAAGCAAATTGAAAACTCTGCTCTCTCTATATATATGTAAATAACAAATTTGGAATATCATTTTCAGCTGCACCGTTTGCTCCAAGTCGTTTACACTTCTCCACCAGTTGAAGGCGCATTTGCAAACACTGACACACCGAAGCAAAGAGAACCAATCTCTTACGACCCCCGACACCTACCTACTTCATACTGAGTAATTTAAGCTAAGCGTTAATTTAAATATAATATCTGCAACACGTTTTATGTATACTGACACTGATTTGATTTGTACTATGGTATATATACTAAATATAAACATCTCATATTTATTCAATATGTTATATTAAATCTTTTTCGAATATCCAATTTCATGATTTAACAAAAAAGAAAATTAGAAAGGCTTCCATAGGAGCACATTATTTCAAAATGAACGATAGATAATAGGAATAAAAGCAATTAACTGCTCGAATAGTCGCCCTCGTCCTGATTGTACAACATTATGCCAACCTCATAACGATGAACGTGCGTTCGTTCATGGGCCTTTAACTGATGCGGCAAACGAAATCCCTTGTTGCAGGTTACGCATTTATGTGGCTTTTCCTTCGAATGAGAGAGGAAGTGCGCTTTTAATGTAGTTGACAGCGAAAAGGTTTTGGTACACATGTTGCAGGCATAAGGTCGTTCATTTGTATGCATTCTGTAAATATTGCAAACATGTTGGTCACAAATTTTAAACTTTCAAGCCCTAGATTGCTTACCTTTCATGCTTGCGATGGGTGCTGCGATCCGCGAAACGTCGACTACAGTGCGAACATTCGAAGGGCTTTTCGCCCGTGTGGGTTCGCATATGGGTTGTTAAATTGCAAGCGGCGTTGAAGCGCTTTGAGCACAGCCTAGAAGTAAATTAAATAAAGTTAAATTTGATGTCCGCACTGTATTTGTTTATACTTACTCGCATTCGTAATTCTTTTCATTGCGATGGGTGCGCAGATGTGACTTGAGCTGAGTTTGATTTGGAAACGAATTGCCACATATGGCACAGCTGTGTCTGGGGAAATTTGACGGCTCACACGCGGCAGCTAAGTCAACCATAGTAAGAGAAGTTCCTGTTGAAGTTGGCTCTTCTCCCTTTAGCACTGGTTTTTCCTCCGGCTCTGACCGAATGTCTACAACTTGATTTGAAAATTGCGAGGTGGACTCCATAGGTGCTGCTTCAACGACTGCATAGCTATCTGGCTCTGTGTAACCGTTATCATAATCTTCTTCAGTGCCATTATCACCCACATCAGTTATGATGTACTCATTGCTTTCTGTGTCTGTCTCTGCATCTCCTTCATCAAAGCCAAGAACACATTTGCTTACAACAAGTAAATAATTCTCATCTTTCTGTACAGACACACCTGATGATTTGTTGCCTTCAGTTGGCTTTCCATATTTCACAGGAATCAACATTTTATTTCCATTTTCTGAAGTGCTATTTGACTCTACGTCAGTAAGATCATGTACTACCTTAAAATCTGTATAAGTAATTTCAGGTTCGGCCAATACATTTTTCACTTGCGAGTCAAGTTTCTTAATCTGTTGATTTCTCGCACATATGTTTTGTTTGCGTGTTCGGGGTACTTGCTTTTCAATTTTGCTCAGACTGCTACTCACTGCGCTCTGATCCATAGAGTTACTCGGAAAGCCTATTCCCGAGGACATGGTGCGACGTACAACACTTCTTAGATGTGCGTCGGACCGTCTGCAGCCTGTGAGAAACGCATGAACTGATTGAAGAGATTTTGTACAATCCATACATATTTTGTCCGGCAAACCGTCGTCTGGTTTCACCTGTGTATAACAAGAGTTAATGATTATTTTTGCTAATAAAACTTTACATTGCGTTGCGTTTTACCACAATTCCAGCGTATTCCTCAAGTTGCTTGGCTAAATTGGGATCACTGAATAGCGGCTGCAGTTGGTCACTGCTATCGGCAGTGCACGTGCGGCACATTTTCCATTTTATGCAAATTTCCATTTCTTAACACTTTACGGTCCCACAACAGTTACTATTGAAAAATAATATTACATTTTGCGGCTTGTCAAAGTTAGCTTGTATTCACTACTGAACGTAACGCGAGTTATAGTGAACCTATCTCTTACCAGACCGTTACAATTGATTTCAAATATATTTTGATTATGTGGGATGAGTGTCTTTAGAAATTTAAGTGTTCAATTTAATGCTTATAAACATGGTAGCAGATAGATCCGTTAATATTTTGTTCTTCATGCGCTATTAGTAATTTTTGGATGTTAGATATTATCGACGCATCCAAATGAAATCGGAAAGGCGGTGAGAATGGCATTTTAATATATCGGCATTCACGAAAATAAAATTTTGTCAACAAATGTGGTAACACTGTTTTACTGTCAAAAAAAAAAAAATAGAAAATAAAACTTCAACAAAAAGGGCAGGAAAAAAATAGAACATTTATTATCATATTATTGTTTTCATAATTGTATATAGAATTGTAAAAATTAAAATAAAACTATGCCAGAATATTTAATCTGTCGAATATGCCTTACGGAAGACATGAATGTCGATACCATGACACCACTGTATGACGACCAGGATGTTCAATGTCCACTAGTTCGGAAAATAGAAGAGATCGGGAGCATTAAGGTATGCTAACAGATATTATCAGATCTTACAGATTCCATCATTAAATTACATTAAATACTTAGCTACCGCCCTTGGAAGACATGCCAAGTCTGCTCTGTTGCACTTGTGTCGGTAGCCTTACCAGCGCCTATAAATTTCGAGAATTATGCCAGGAAAGTGAGCGAACCTTTGCCAGCAGCGTTGTTAAGGTATGAAATATATTCGAGTGCTAAACTATAATGGTTCAATTGTACATTTATTGGTATAATGTTTAAAGGCGGAACTAAAACTGGAGCCAACAGATGATCCTTCACAAATTGAAAGCGATAGCGTAGAGTACATTTACGAAGCGGCCAATGAGTTTATTGACGCCGATGATGACATTGAATTCGATGCTATGCTAGAAGAGCGCTTGGAGGAAACAATTGAGGAGGCGGCAACTGACACAGCTTATGATGATTTTGAGCGTAAAACTGATCTGGATGATAAGAACATATTAATTGACAATGCAAGCGACAGCGACTACGAACCCAGTGAACGGTTGCGAAAGCCAAAGGTACGAAAATCGAGGCTTGGCAAACGTGGACGGGGACGACCTCGCAATCCGACGCATTCAGTAATTAAGAATGGTCAAGCAAAGACAACAAATGTAGCAACTGCGAATAAACCCAATGAAGAGACCTCTACTAACATCATGTGTGAAATATGTGGCAATATCTACTCGAAACGTGCAGCGCTCAATATTCACATGCGACGACACATGGCCGAGAAGCCTTTCGAATGCGAGTATGTTTGTAGAAGTGCACTATATTTCCATTTAATTAAGTAATGAGTTCTGAAATAATAATAGGCAAAGTCATGATATCTTCGTGATATCGAATGCTATATACTGATATAGGAAACAGTGCAATTGCATATAAGACTAGTGGTTATCTCTTCAATTACGGATTATGTGTGTGTTTTTTTTTTATATTTCTGAATCATCATAAAGGCTACAACAACATCAGGCAAAATTTTCTGTTTAGAAATTAATTCAATTAATAATTGTATAATTTTGTACTCATAGAGCTATTTTGTTATTGGAAAAGGTATTTCTTTAAACTTTGTATATATACATGTTTGTTATATGTTCTTTAAAATACTGTTGGTTTTTTTTAGAATCTGCACTAAGTCGTTTGCTGGTCCCTCGGAGCTAAATCGCCATATAAGAGTGCATACAGGCGAAAAACCTTTTACGTGCAAATACTGTTCCCGAGCATTTGCTGACCGCAGCTCAAATATACGCCATGAAAGGTAATTCTAATACAGGAATTATTTAACCACTTACTTATATATTTTATTGCAGAACTCATACAAATGAGCGACCATTTACCTGTGCTACATGTGGCAAGTCTTTCTCCTATTCGAATGTTCTCAAGAATCACATGTTGACACATACAGGGGAAAAACCCTTTTTGTAAGTTCATGATTTTACATATAAAATACATAATAAAACCACTATTTGGACATGCGCAGCGAATCATAGTTATTAATGAATTAAATAAATCGTTGCAGATGTTTGCCGTGCAATAAAACCTTTTCCCGCAAGCATCAACTGGAACAGCACACAGGAACTATGACCCATCAGCAAACTGTGAAAGCTCTTCAGACTAGCGATCCGGCTCGTCACACTGAGCTATATTAGTCATTCGCAATGGTTTAAATAATTATTTAGTTGTTATATATATTATAAATTTATTTCCCAATTGTAAATAAAAAGTACAAATTTAAGAACCCATTTTTGCCCAAATGTGCCAGATGAATTCTACGAGATGAAATATAAACAGGACGTAAAAAGGGGAAGCAATAATTAAGATATAAGATATGCTGGTCGTTCGATACAAGTCAATCATACATATATTGATATTATTTTTTATACGAATATAACATACAGAGTTTTAAATTATTCTTTTGGTAGCTCTGGCAATGTTAGCTAGGAGAATACTACATCGACAGAGTAGCTTAGGTTGCGAACCCACATCCTCGATGTTTTGTGGCCTACATGACGGGGCCACTGGCATAACTTATTTGCCGAGGACTTTGCATTAATTGTCGATTCCCCATGCAACTCGAGATGAAGAGATTTTTCGCATATTCATAGCAGTCGATATAAAGACTATTAACAATGAATGTGCTGGATCAACTCCTTTGTAGTGAAATATTAAAGACACATCTAAAAAATTAACAATATATGATTAAGAAATGTATGGGCAAACTTATAATTAATGAACATATATTATACATACATAACGCACATAAAATTGATTAACGCTTAAACGCTGTCGGAATGTTTAAGCAGCAGATTGATAGCTCATTACTGCGGAGTTACTTGTACTCAAGAAATTCCGTAACGTCCTTGCAATACAATGTAATCAATCAATGGGTGTCTCAAAGACGTCATTTGAAATCCTTGTAAGGTAGTTCTCTTGAACTCCTTTAAGTGGCTCGACTTGTACTAGTCATGTTTTGAATTAACTTTTGTATCAACTGTTTTTCTGAAAGAGAACAGCGGTTGCGAAATGCTGTAGCACATCCCAAATCAATGAGGCATAGTCTGCAAATAGGCACCGGATGTCCTGGAATTTTCTCGAGCTATAAAAAATAATAAAATTTAGCAACAGTTAACAATGTGCAATATATGCAATATATCAATATGCAACCTGCAATTTACTAGTTGAATTGAGTTGCGCTAGTAAGTGGGCATTTTGGTCACGGAAAAGATCAACCATGTCTTGAATACGTTTAACGTAATTTAAACAAAGACGGCACCTTCTCGACTCCATCATGCACTCCTCACGGCAATGTTAAAACAGAGATACTGATTTTGAGCTTTAGCATTCAAATGAATACTGTCAGTGTAGCTTCTTCTTTAGACATTCACAGCGAACGTTTGAACTGACAGTAACAGCTGATTTTTACTTTTACTTTGTTTACAAATATACGAAACGATTTTAATTTTTTTTGTTAAGATTATATAAAATTTAGCTCTTAAAAAATGACGCTACAATGTCGTACCTGTGGAAACGTAATTTATAATATAAACGCTAAAAATCTATTCCTGACTGAAAACGCGGATGTCTTGATGAACATTGCAATTGTGGCTGGAACTGCAGTAAATTTTTCTGTTTAGAAATATTACCATATGTATATTTTAATCACGGCTATTTATATTTGTGCAGCTAAAAAAATGTCCTCAGCTTCCATCCCACATATGCGGTTGTTGTCTTCTCGACCTGAAACAAGCCGTCGTCCGTATGAAAGTATTCCGGGATCGGTGTATAAAGACGCAGGAGCAGCTGTTAAAGAGTCAAACTCTAGTCGAAAATTCGTCGAAAGGAGATATGGTATTTAAAAGCGATTATAATATTAATCAGGAAACTATGTCAAATTATGAGGAGCTACCCATCGAAATCGATAGATTAAAAGAGGATTTCAATGATGACGGAGATGAGATTATTGACTCTTTTGAGGATTCTATTTCAAATTTCGCGGAGGATGCCGAGGATGCAAGCGTTCAAAGCAGTAACAGTGAAGAAACGATCGAAGAGCTTCAGAAATTCTCTGATAATGAATTAACCCGAAAGCTTAGTAGTTGCAGTGACAAAACTAAATCTGTTAGTATCAGAGTCAGTACACCAATAACTTTTAACGACCACCCAATCAACAAAGATAGTTCAAATAGAAAGACAAATATGAAAATACATAGGAAAAAATTAAATTGTAAAACAAAAACTGCTAAAACGAAAAAAACTTACATCAGCTGGAAGAATCTGACAGAGGAGCAAATTGTTGCTCGTCGGCGGAAACAGAGGCTTCGAGACTGCATTTGTGATCAGTGTGGCAGGCATTTCACAGATCAAAGTAACTTCAAATTGCATATGCTGCGACACTCCGGCATCAAAAACTTCAAATGTAAGGAATGCAGTAAACTATTCTATACCGATCACTTGCTACAGCTACATGAACGGACCGTACATCGTGGAGAGCGACCATACGCTTGCAAATACTGCGACAAATCTTTTAACAGCAGCACAACTCGTGTAATGCATGAACGGTTCGTTTTTCTAGCTTCATGTCATTTTTATGCATACACAGAGAATATAATATACATATATACATATTAATATATTATTTTAGCTCCCATACAAATGTGCGGCCGTACTCTTGCGAATATTGCGATAAATCATTTATCTCCGCTTCTGCACTTAAACGACATGATCTAACACACAATGGCGTTCGACCATTTTAGTAAGTATTTTGAAATCGACTCGATCAAGCTTAAGCTTTAACTGATAATCCTTATACACATTTCAGCTGTATTATATGCGACAAAACATTTCAAAGAAATACTCATCTAAAAGCTCATTTACGTTCCAAGCTGCACGCAATGAAAGAAGACAATATTAGTTTATTACGGGAATTTGAATAATAACTTTTAATATATAATATATATAATATAATATATATATTCCCATTTTGTATATGTTTAATTTTTAACATTTGATTAAAATGCAAATGTTTTAAATAATTAAACTATTATAAATATCAACTAAACATAAAATCGGTTATGAATAAATCAATAAAATATGAACTAAGGATATTTGAAATATTAATTAAAATCTACAATAAAAACAACTCAACCGTAATATCAGTGTATATTTTCAGTTTGCTAACAGTATATTTATGATATTTTCTATGTATTTTTTAGTGTGTTTTATTGAAGTGTATTTCAGTGTTTTCGAGAGCTGGTCGCTTTGCTATAATCTCTGCGTTTTACAAATTAAACTTGTTTATTTTGTAGCTTTTATTAAAATGGAGGACTTTTGCCGAACTTGTGGCAAAACAGTGAATGAAGAAAGTTGCATCAACATATTTTCACCCCAGAGGCGACGACTATTACATTGCGTGCGCAATATTACAAATTGTTGGGTATTGAGGCAATGTTTCCACTTTCGATGAAATTCTAACTTTGTATACTTTAGGTGGAAAATGTTACCGGCTTTCCAATTTATATTTGCGAGGACTGTCAAATTCTGGTAAAGAAGGTAAATACCTTCCGTAAGCGCTGCACAAAGATCGAAGCTTTTCTAACTAAACGGAAAGCCAAATTGAGCTCAAATAATGATATTTCGCCAGTAAAATCAATTCATAGTAAGATTTCCGATCCGCTTCGAATTGAGGCTGTGGATGCTGATGTTAATATTAAAAGGGAGACAAGAACCACCCAAGACATGCAATCTGATGATTTGCTTAATGAGCTTCACGATGATACCGGAGAAATGAACGAATGTTTTAGAGATCAACCGTATTCCGATGACTGTGCTGGTATATCATTCGATGACGATATTGAAGAACAACCCAGTAAGGACTCTCTCACTGCTCGCACTGAAGCTCAATCGAAACCTTCAGTCAGCATTGACCCGAATACAAAAGCGAAAAATAGCACCCGCAAATACACTATGCGCGTAGGAAAGCGAACTATGTACATAAAACTAACAAATGAGAAGCAGCCGAAGCGCATTGTAGACCGGGAACGACAATGGGCCTCTGCGCGCCCCTGTATTTGTGAGCACTGTGGCCGCCAATTCAAAGATGGCAGCAATCTTAATGTGCATTTGTTGCGACACACTGGCACTAAGAATTACGAGTGCCAGGAATGCAACGAAAAATGCTACACATTACATCTGCTTCGACGCCATCAATTAAAGCATACAGAGGGCCCGTATGCGTGCACCTTCTGCGGACTACAATATAGTACGAACAGCTCCCGGGTGCGACACGAACGGTAAGTGAAGGGATAATTATGTGAAAGTACGAAATTCCAATTCCTTTAATTTACAGTGAAGCTTGCAAGAAAGGTCGAGGTCCACAATCAAAAACGGAGCTAATTAAGCGTGGTGAACGCACATTTCAGTACGTTTTTAGTAATTTAAAATTATAAAATATTAATAATTAAATCTCTTGTGTTCCACAGCTGTGATGTATGTGATCTTTGGTTCCTGCGCGCCGGCAATTTAACTCAGCATATAAATTCATCAAATCATATTGCTAACGTGCGGATAAAAAGTAAAAAATCCCAATCAAAACAAAAGAGTTCGCTAAACATAGGTGTCGCATCATAAATATATGTTTTTTTAAAACCGGTTTGTAATAAAAATGAATAGAAAAATAATGTTCTGTGTATTTTAAATATCTTAACGCTAATTATATGCTATAAAGCCAGTTAGTTCTATTATCTCTGTTCAATTTGAATCTTCTTCAATAATTTCAACTTTAGTCAGCTTTTGCAGATTATCCTTATGCATTTTGCTAAATTGATGCGAGCATAAATTGAACTTATATCGAAAGAAGGCGTTGCAAACGTCGCACCTAAAATAATTCAGTAATTGAAATTATCAAATTAAAATATTAAAAGCTTTAAATCAATATTCGATTGTCGAACCTGTAGGGTCGTTCGCCAGTGTGAATTCGTTCGTGTTCTTTCAACTTGCTGCGTACATAGAATCCCTTTAGACAAATGTCGCATTCGAAGGGACGTTTGCTATCATGCCTCATTTCGTGCTTCTTTTTAGATTGGGGATCAGCAAAGCTCATGTCGCAGAACTTGCATTTAAAAGGCTTGATACCCATATGTATATTGGTATGCCAATTTAGCGCATATTTTGTCGCATAGCTCTTATTGCAGTAGGTACAAAAGTGACGAACATTTTCCTTCTGTTCCAGCGCATTCTGTGGTTGTTGCTCCTGCTCATCGGTTTTGAGTTCGATTCTTTTGTTCAATCTGTTGGAGTTCCTATGAATACGTGGAGACGCTCCGTGAACTTTTCTGCAAAAACCATTTATATATTAAAGACGTATAGTTTTGATTCGTGTCATATCAATATTTCAATTTTGCACCTACTTTTCATGCAAATAGCGCGTGTTAGACGAGCCAAATGCTTTCCTACAAAACTTGCATTCAAATGGCAATTCGCCTTTGTGCCGCACACGTATATGCATATTTCGCATATAGGCATCGTAGAACATTTTGGGGCACTCGGGGCAGGAATAGTTCTTTGTGCGCGTATGCCGCAACATATGGATCGTTAAATTGCATCTCACCCGAAATGAGGCGCCGCACTGGTCGCACACATGGTTCAAGGGCATGGCTCTGATTTGCTCACGGCGTATGCGATTTCTTTCTTCTTTTGTGCGCTTTGGGCGTTTCGGCTTCGGATCCCGAGGTTTTCGTATTCGTTTTCTAACCACATTTTGTTTATTTATTGTTACCTTTCTCTGTCGCGGACGTGCTGTTTTGTCCTTACCCCTGTATTCATTGAGCAGATCCTCATAAATTTGAGCACCCAATGCAATACTATTTGAATCTGCAGTTGGTGGATATGTTGGCTGAATCATTTGTTGTGTTGTTTCAATGGGAAAAGGCTCAACTTCAGTTGTTTCATCTTCTTCCGGAGATATGGAAACAAAATCATCACAATTTTCACTAATCTGTATTATCTCTGAATCATTAGCATTCAAAGTTTCTGTGTCAGGATCCTTAATAATAGTATCCCCTCCAGCTAACTCTACCTCAGTTCGAATACAGGTTTCTCGAAAATGTATGGCTGTGCGCAGATTTTGGACGCAGTTTGAGCACATGAACGACGATATTCCATCCTTACATTTGATCTGAAATCCAAATATTTTTTACCTAAGTCACGTGTAAAATAATTGTTTTGGCAGATACTAACCCAGATACCTGTTATAACTTCAATGTGAAATAACATGACCGCGTTTTGTTCGTCACAAAGGTCTTTAGCATTATCATCGACAATAAATGGTTCAAAGCAGGTGCGGCATTTAATCTGCTGGATAACTTTTTGTACGCTGCTTAATTCCAGTTCCTCCCGTTCTTCTGCCAATGGATCGTTTTCACTGGGTGTCGGTGTACCTGGAATGAAGGCATTACCAGTTGCATTTACGAAATCTGGAGCCGACGCAATGCCTGTGTTTCTGACAAAATCTGGAGCTTTAACAATTGCTCCGCTGGCTTCGGCTGCTTCACGCGCTGCCGCTTCCTCAAGTAACTCTTGGACCAGTTTTTTGTTCTTTCGCCTTTCAGATCGCTCGCGTTCAACTGTACTCATGTCGCTTTTATTTATGCATGGCACGGCGCCCGGTTTCAGCGTTCTTTTACTACATAGACCTACAATACGAAAAGTAAGTAAATGTGATTGGAGACGTTAAAATGTTTTACGAACCCATTTGAAACTGTAAGGCTCCTTGTATATCCTCCTCTTTAAAGTGCTCATTGCAAATGACGCTCTTAAGTGGTGCCTTTAGTTTCTCTTTGTTGTATCTGCGGCAAAATGCAAGCCACTTTTTTAGGACGTCGGGGTTTTTAGGAAAACTGAAGAAACTCAATTGTTCAGAATGCTTTTGTCGTGATCTGAACTTGTTCGCGCAGTTTTGTATTGCACACTTCATTTTTATACAATTTACTTTTATTTGTGACGTCGCATTGCGGACCTAGTACCAGGGATGGCAAACTTTTACTCACGCTGCTGCAGTCTATCGATATGTGATCTACTCATTCTTTACTTCTTATCGGTTAAATTGGCGAGAGGCAGAGCTGTTATTCTATTTACTAGAATTTAAAAAAAAAAAAATTATTGTTAATCGTCTGGTAGAAATAAGTGTGAACCAATGCATAAGTTTGACATATGTTCAACTGTTTATTATTATTTAATAATATTAAACCGTGAGAAAATCGCTGTGAATGGCACAGGAATTGAATTTTGGCGCTAAAACCCATATATATTTGTTTAAACATCGAAGTCTTTACTAATTGAATCAGTTTCAGTTTCTCCATCTGAGCTGGCATCATCTAGAACCGCATTTGCCGCATTTGTTTGATGTTGCTTTGAACGATAATGAATTTTCAAATTAGTTTTTCTAGGAAAACCAACATTGCATATTTCACACCTGAAAGATAATGAGAGAATTAAAGCACCAGATCTAGTGAAAACGCAAACTAACATACCGATATGGTCGCTCGCCTGTGTGAAGGAACTCGTGTTTATTTAAACATGATTTTGTCATATATGTTTTTCCGCATAGTCGGCAAGTATATGCCAATTTCCTCGTATGCTTTACACTATAAGTTCGAGAAAGATGATTATGATAACAGTAAATCAAATATGTTAACTATACCGTTCATGCCGACAACGTGTGGTGCTTGTATAGAAGCGCTGGTCACAATATTTGCATGCGTATGGCATCTCTCCTTGATGTCTAACGCGTATATGCAAATTCAAGAGATGTCGTGTAAAGTACTTTGTGTCACATTCTGGGCATTCAAAGTTCTTTACGCCTGTATGCCTCAAGATATGTACTTTAAGATTGCTGGCGTCTGTAAAGCATCTTCCACATTGATCGCATACGTAGGTCTTGCTAGCTCCCCGCTGCTTCACATTACGCTTTACTTGATTTCTAGACCTATCCGACATGGCGCTATCAGAATCTTCTGTTACCGATAGCCGTGTTTCGTCCATCTCAATACAATCGCGGTTCGCCACTGCCGATGCCTTGCGCAGTCTAGTAGAATTAATACTCTTATCATATTCTGTTTCTGAGCGTCGATGATGAGCCGAATTAGTAATTGATGTTGTGTTGGTGCTTGACGCTTGTCTTGGTGAGCACGCTCTTGCAGCTTGAGTTTGCAGAGATGTTTGTTTTGCTTCTCCGTGAGCACGCACAATTTTACGCTCCGGCTGTTGCCTTATATTAATCGCTGTAGACGCGCCCCTTTTCTTTGCGGAATAGAGGGGATCAACGGCTGATGTATCCCTTCCTATATTATCACGCAGAACTATTTGTATTTTAATACACCGTTCTCGAAATGCTATGGAGTGGTTTAAATCCAAGTAGCAACAGGTGCAAATGTGCTTAGGCATTTCCTCTTCATCATTCAACTAAAAGAAAGCTAACTTAAATACGCAGTTAAACATAAAAACACACACATATTTTCGAAATACCATAATTCCAGTCAGTATTTCGATCTTATGTATCAGATCCTCACTTTCCTGGTTAAATAGGTTTCTGGCATTGCGATTGTAAATTCGTTCGCCACATGTTCTGCACAAAACCATTTTCGACATTTTAGTAAATCAATTGATCTGTCCAAAATAAGGCAATGTTTTTATTAATTTCACTATCGAAATTCAAGTGTGAATGGCATAAATACAGCTGATAATTATGGTATGATGTGAATGTCAAAAATGTGGCGCAATTATCTAATGTGTTCATGTTCTACACGATAACAAACTCTATTATACATCAAGTCCTACTATTATTGAGTCCGGAAAAACTATTGTATTATCTGAAATTGCTATTTCTTTAATGCCATCAATTTGACCATTGACCGCTTCGCTAGCTCTCTTCTGATGCTGCTTTGTACGACAATGTATTCTTAGGCCTGGCTTTCGGGGAAACGCCACATTGCACAAGTCGCAACTAAAATATGAAATTAATATAATATAATTATGTATGTAGCTTCCTATTCAATGTGGCATACCGATATGGTCGCAATCCAGTGTGCAGAAATTCGTGTTTATTTAAACATGATTTTGTATTATATTTTTTTCCACATATCTTGCACTGATATGACCAACTTCTTATATGCCGTACTCTGTAATGAAGAAAAAACATGAAAATCTCGTAAGCTACTGCAATTTAGATTCTCACTGTTCGTGGCGTTGACGCGTGCTGGCGGAATAGAAGCGTTGATCGCAAAATTTGCAGAGATACGGCATCTCGCCTTGGTGTTTCACCCGAATGTGTAATTGTAATAGATATTTCGAGTAGTGCTTAATGCCACATTCGGCACATTCAAAGTTTTTTTCGCCCTTGTGACGCAGTATGTGAATATCCAAGTTTTTGGGACTTGAAGATTGATGCCCGCATAGGTCACAGATGAAAATTTTCGGATTTGCCGGTGGTTTTACATTGCTGTCTTTATTCTTCCTATACTGTCTTTTGGCAGCCATCCTATCCTTATTCTGTGCTGCCTGAGATGGAAGGGCAGAGGATACAACAGGTGAACTAGGCGCTACTTCTTGAAACAATTCTGTTTCTTCAAAGTCACTGAATTCATTGCTCTCGGTCTTTGAATTATTGTAATTCTCTGTACATTTGCTTGAGCTGCCTAGTGTTTTAGTCCCTGAAGTTTGCCCTTCATTGTCATCTGCAACCTTTAGGTCAGGCTGAATCGTGGTATCATACATATTTGTAGGTGATATATCATCATTAGAATATGTTTTCTCTCTTGCAATGTCTGGCTTTGGTGTATTAGATTTTTGTTTACGAGTGCGTAAAATATGGCTTTCTTGGTATGGCTTACTGGAGTTTTCTGTATCTGGCGTATTCAAGATTAAGATATTCTCTAATTGCTCTGTTGTTGCATTCTGTAATTTTTTAGATGTTCCATTGCTTGATTCTATCCCTGTTTGTGTTGTATTTAGCGGGTCTCCCATCTTTGGCTTGGGTTTTGCAGCTTGTAAAAAATGTTCCGTTTTCAAGCATCTCTCTCGAAAAGCTATTGAATGGTATAAGTCCAAGTGACAACAGGTACAAATATGCTTCGGCATATGCTGCTCATCCTTTAACTGTAATCAAATATACTCATGTTGAGCTTCATATGTTTACGTACGTGGATATGTGTATGTAGATACTTGTTTCAGAATAATGCTTACCCGTATTCCAGTAAGAGTTTCAATGTCATTAAGTATCTCATTGTCGTCTTGGTCGAAGAGATTCTTGGCGTTGGGATTTAAGATCATTACCGCACAAGTTCTGCATTTATTCGTCATTCTACAAACTTTCAGCTACCACAATGTTTTCTGTGCCAAATGATAATAGCGTTTTAAGGAGAACAGGTTTGTTATTCTATTGTTAGTATTTTTTGGTATATACAAAAGAAATGAAATCGATAGCACAATAATCTCAAACGTATCCATAAATATTTATTTGAAATGATTGTGGTCTTTCTTTTATGTATTTTTAAACAGTAATAAGTTGTTTCAATGGAGCATAAACTCTATATGTTCGTAATATTTAATTTTATTGGATTTCATTCACAAATAATATTTCCAAATGATCACTCAATGGTGAACCAAGCAACAAACTCATTATTCGTCGACTTCCTCAATAATAGAATCGGGAAGGTCAAAGCCTATATCTTCATCGCTGACTTCTCTCATTTCAGCATCACAAGAATCACTTCTGCCAAACTGAGCCATTCGCCTTTGATGCAATTTTGTAAGATAATGATTTTTTAAATAAGTGGATCCCTTAAAATTCTTGTTGCATGTTTCACATCTGAATTAAAAATATAAAATATATTTACAATTTGAAGACAGGGTAATAAGAAAACATACCGATGAGTGGTTTCTCCCTTGACATGCACTTCCTTGTGCTTATCCAGACTAATTTTGCTTATGAAAGTACTGTCGCAAATGTCACATTCGAAAGGCAATTCGTTTGGATGATATTTTCTGAGATTTTCGGAGATAAAAGTTGGTTAAATGGGTTTAATTTAACATAAATATGATTAACTCACCGTTCATGTCGGCAACGACTGGGACTGTTGCGGAAAGCCATTCCGCAATATTTGCATACAAATGGCTTTTCACCCTTGTGATGCACACGTATATGAAGCATTAATAGGGGACGGGTAAAAAACTTATGGCAGCATTCTTCACACTGAAACTTTTTAACTCCAGAGTGTCGCAGTGCATGGTCCTTCATGTTACTCAAATCGCGGAAGGACCACCCGCAGTGCTCACACACATATTTCTTCTCGAGCGACATTACTTTTGGCTTTTTTCCCCTAACCTTTGTTGCTTTATCATTCCGCGACGCTAGTGGATATTTTTTAACTTGGCCTGATCTGAATCTTTTTGTCGGGCTATGTGCAATGGACGCAGTTGGCCTAACTACCGCATGTGTCAAATCATCAGATGATGTATGTGGCGTTGCAATAGATTGTAAGGCGATTTTTGGGGAGCTGTTCTTCACCAATATGGTGGAACGATTTATTATCTGACGTCCGTTATTTGGATTTCGACAACGCATGAGTCGCACTCGAGGCGAACCATGGCGTGGGCTTAGAACTCTTCGTCCTTCTTCGTTGTTCTGTTTGCATTCATTTCTTGACAATTCTTCCTTATATCCTGAACTGTTTACAAGTCTATTTTTTAATTTAATCGCACCTTTTGCGCGGTTATCCAATGGATCAATATGCTGAGAGTCAACTGGAACATTTTTGCTAGCTTCCATTTCGTCTTGCTTCACGCTTATTAGCTGTTTGTTAGCTTCCAAACATCGTTCCCGAAAGGCGATTGCGTGATCTAAGTCCAAATAACAACAGGAACATATATGGGTAGGCATTAAAGGATCATAGGACAGCTAAAAAACAAAATTGCAAATAATAAGGACAGAGACACGGTATCATGAGCCGGCTTACCCTAATCCCAGTAATTGCTTGAATGTTTTGCCGAATATCTTCATTTTCTTCTTTAAAAAGATTCCTGGGATTCAAGTGAAAAATCGGTTCTGCGCAAGTTCTGCAGCATATCGACATTGTGCTGATATTTATTCTTGGTTTGTTTACAAATTGTAAAATTAAAACACTACCAGTGTGCACATATAAATGGTTAAAAATTACCTAAAAATGCCATGCAGTAAATTAAATATATTTAATATATTAATTTTTTTATAAATACTTCCTTTATCTCAATCTGTTGTAATTTTAAATTATAATATATATATAATTCTAAATTTATTTAAGAATAATATTATTAGTCTAAAAATACTTGGTATGTTGTTTCTTTTATTTTAAAAATTGTGAATGGCCTGTATATACATACATACCAATTAAATTTAAAACAGCTGTGAATAAAACTATCTGACGGTCGCTTTCATTTGCGCGGAAATTAAAAATCTGTATCTTTCTAGAGTATAATTGATATACATATTTAAAATGAGAGACCTACGCACACTATGCCGCACTTGTGGCATAACAATAAATACAAAGCATTATACTAAACTATTTGAGAAGTTGAACTATCATTTAGTAACTTTAATCGAGGACATCACAGACATGTTGGTGAGATTGTTTCACTATTCATTTAAAGCTTACTTTAAAAAAAATAATTACAGATTGAAAGCGACATTGCTATGCCAGAACACATTTGCATTGCATGTAAATCGATGTTGGATCAAATCGTTAAGTTCCGAACGAATTGTCTGAATACACATAAGAAACTAATAGCTGTGAAAAAGAAGAATCTAAATAGCAACATTCTTGAATTTGACAGTATAGAATATGATACAACCGAAAACAGTAAGAGCTGTGATGAGCAAAAAGCAAAAACAAATCTGGGTAGTGATACCCAAAGCTACAGCATAGCAGTTGACGCTCCTGTAAAAAGAAAACCTCAAGTTAAAAATAAAAGGATATATAAATCCAAAGAAGCCAAAACATGGATCTGTGAACAGTGCGGTGGAGAATTTAAATGTTCCACGTATTTAAAATTGCATATGTTGCGCCACACAGGAACTAAGAAGTTTGAGTGTGACATTTGTAAGAGTATGTACTATACTAAGAACGAGATGGAGCGCCATAAGATTTTACATACTAATGCAAGACCATACGCCTGTCGTTTCTGTGATAAAACCTTTCGAGGCACTAGTAGTAAGACAGTTCATGAAAGGTTTGTTTAATACAATGTAATACGCGTAATTTAAAAATATTTTTCATTATTCTAGAACTCATACAAGCGAACGACCATTTGTTTGTCAGTACTGTGATAAAACCTTTAGGTCCACTTCGGTGCGGAAAATGCACGAGCGTGTGCACGTTAATCAACGAAACTATCAGTAAATAATATTATATTTAAGTTTTGATATGTTGATAAAGTAATTTCTTTTATAGCTGTGAGCCGTGCGACCAATGGTTTTTACGTCCTTCACATTTATTATTACACCAACAAACCAAACTCCATAAAAATAAAACCTCAAGCGGCTAGATTTCGCTTTTACGTACGTACAAAATTTACAATTTGAAACTGAGCAAAATGAACTAAATATCATCGTTACCATGTGATTGTCAATAACCATTGAACAGCTGTTATTTTGTGTGAATGGCTAATTCGCGTTCAGAGAGTTTACATTTGGAGGAGCGTACGCTGCTCTGGACGAAGAATTAAAGTAAAGAAATTAACATGTTAAAAAGAATTAATTATTTGTAGTGTCGCATTTAACCGCATATAAAGTGGCCACAAAACGAAAGATTTACTGCTTCGGAAATTTTATACTGTTAAGCTCGGCACAATTGCCTGCTTATCGATGCACATAAGAATAATTTGAATATAATTCACTGGAACACAATTTCAAACATGCTGAAATCTCGTGATATAAATCATAAAAATCGCTTCAAAAGAGAAGATAAAGTGCAACTTATAGCTGCAGTTAAGGCTAGACGTCTGCTATGGGATGTGAGACATAATGAGCACAATGCTGTTATGAGTATTAAAGCGGCTTGGAAATCAGTTGCAGCCGATCTGGGCAGAGACCGTAAGTCTTACGTCCTTCTTGGAAATTCGAATTTAATGAGAACTCAATTCAATTCAAATAGCACAAGAATGCAAAGTCGCTTGGCGCTCGCTACGTCAGAGCTATCGCTACCATTGTAAAACAGCGCATACACGCTTACAGCAGGATGATGGTGATATGGACGAAGCTGATCCATTAGAAACCCCAGATATTCAATGGGAGTTTGCCGAGGATATGTCCTTTCTGCAAGATTTGTTAAGGAACAGAGAGTAAGTGCTCGATATATTGAATTCTCAAGTCTCAAGCTTATTCTATGTTAAACATTTCAGCCAAAGTTTAGAATCAGCACAACTAGATGAAAGCTCTTCTGGCAACAACACTCTAGAAGAATATACAGATATGGAATACTTGGATACCGCGTACATTAATAATTGTGATGACGATATCGAAGTTGAAGACGTAACTGTCACCATTGCTGATGGAGCCCCCGTAAATGGTTGTGTATTTACGTTTTTTCATATAATTTAAGATTCGTTTAATCATTTACAGAAGATAGATCATCAAGATGTGCTATGTAGAACATGTGCGCAACCGATAAATTCTCTAACCTCTCAGAACCTGTTTAACCCAGAAAATCATAATCTTTTGTGTCAAATTAAAGCACTAACAGAACTTAGCGTAAGTAAAGCTGGTCATACAAAACTTTTATGGCGTCTAAAATTATTATTTATTTTGTTTAGTTGAAACAAAAAGAAGGCCTATCAGATTTTATTTGCCAACGCTGTCAACATAATCTGAACATTGCAACAGAATTTCGCAGAGTTTGCATTGAGTCGCAGACACACGCCCTGATCAAAGTACAAATAAAGAAGGAGACCACGAAATCAAAAGTAATAGCATATCCCCAGTTTAATATTGTTGAAAGTGCGAGTGACACGGAGATAGCCGTAGAAGAACAGCGATTGGAAAATGTCGAAATATCGGAAGATGAAAATTATTACGAGGAAATTGAAGTTGAACCATTACAATCAATAGCATCACCACCATCGTCATCCAATATCAAATTGCAAGAGAACAAAAATCCTAAGTGCCAGTGTCATCAGTGTGGATTAACATTTGCCACTCAGGACTTGCTAAAAATGCATATGCATCAAAGCCATGATATGCAGCTTCAAACTCGGTTAGTGTCAATATATGTAATATCTGTGAACATCCGTTTTTTATCTAATTTATAATTTTAGATTTGTGTGCAAGCATTGTGGGCATGATTTCAAATACTCAGCACCCCTCGTTGAACATCTGAAGAGCATCGGGACTAGTTTTGGATACAAGTGTGAAGACTGTGGTCAAAAGTTTTATACTAGGCATTTCCTTAAGAAGCATAAGAGACGAGCTCATGGACAGGCCGTTGAACATATTTGTCATATGTGCGGTAAAAATTTTACAACTGGATTTAATCTGAAGAACCATATTATTCGACACTCTGGCGACCGTCCTCATAAGTGCAAATTATGCACCGCTGCATTTTCGACGACAGCCGAGCTAAACAATCATCAACGCATCCACGACAATGTGCGTCCATATCCATGTCGTTATGCTTGCGGAAAATCATTTCGTCACTGCAGCAATCGTAGCACTCATGAGAGGTGAGCAAAATCAAATGCGAAAGAAATGGATATTTCAATTAAAATTGTTTGCAGAGTACATATGGCTGGAAGTCTCCGCCCCTTTCAGTGCGACTATTGCAACAAAACGTTTGTGACCAAAGGGGATTGCAGATCGCATCAAATGGTTCATACTATGAGCCGTAATTTTAGGTAGTTGTATGAATGAAAACATCTATTCTGCCAGGTTAATAACATATGTCTTTTCATCTGTTCCACAGCTGTGACATTTGTGAGCAGAGTTTTAAGTTGCACAAGCACTATTTGCAGCACTTGAATACCAAATCTCATAAAAAAACCGAAGAGAAGTCTTTGAAGGAAAAAGAATCTGTGGCTTGACTTTAATCATACAATAATTACTAGAGGAATATGCAACTTGAAGTCATTATTTTAAGTTATTTTGAAATCAAATTAGCTAATTACTTATACTATACTAATGAATAGTAAAATGTTGATATTTTTCATGAAATCATGTTTGAACAGGTTCAAATTCTAACCTGACATGTATTTTTTTTTTTTTGAATAGTCAAATCCTGAAAGCAAACTACTTTTAGGAACTCGTTAAACTGAAATAAAATGAAACTATTTTTTATTTTTTTATAAATAAACACATTGAAATGTTGTAAAGTTGAATTTTAATAGCTAAAATATCAAATATATATGTAAATGCACAAAATTGTTGGATTTTAAGATAATTAAGTCACAAATTATTGGTAGAGAAAGACGTTTTTGATTCGCCTTTGCTCTAATGATCACCAATTCCATTGCCATTTTGTTTGGCCTTATCGCCGGATGCAATAAACGTGGTGACATCTAGTTTAGTGGCCAGAGCCACGACCACGTCCTTAGACTGTGCATTTCGTTTAACAATTAAAACACTGGGATCAACTTCCAGCACTCGCGCCAGCTTGCCTAATATGTCAGTCTCAGTCAGACGAATGATTCGCTTGTTTAGGGCCTTGATCGCAGGGTCACTCAGCTGACGATTCATGCTGACAATCTGGCTCAAGAGGGTTTCCTGTGTCACGACGCCCAAAACACTTCTGTAAAGAGATAGCGGACCTTAGCAGCATTGGCTTTATATTTTATACTATTCACATACCCATCATTCTTGTCGACCATCGGCAGCTGATCCACGCGATTCTGTTTCATAAGCGCAATGGCACCAGCAAAAGTTTCGTCAGACTTTATCAAAGCGATTGGACTGGGCAGCTGGAGCTGAGCTATGGGCACGTTCCACCACCAGTGGCCATGCTCGTTAACTGGCTGCTTGAAGCCGCGGGCCTCCATCCAATTGTCGGATACGAACTTGGTCATATAGTTACGAATGCCGTCGGGCAGGATAACTACACAGCGCTGGCCAGGCTTCAGGCTGCGTGCATGATCCAGGGCTGCATGCATTGCGCCACCGCTCGAGCCGCCACAGAGCAGACCCTCTTCAGCGTTTAGCCGGCGGCTCATGGGGAAGCAGTCCGAATCGTAGACCTTCGTCCACACATCGACTACCGTCTGGTCAAAGACAGTCGGTGGGAAATCATAGCCAATGCCCTCGACCTCATAGAACTGGACATCAGTTTTGTTGAGCTCTTGTGGCCGGGCCAGCACAGATCCGTAGGGATCCACACCCACGACCTGGCAATTGGGCACTTGCTCCTTGATTTTGCGTCCGATACCGGTAATGGTGCCCGCTGTGCCAGCTGCGATCACAACCATATCCACTTTATTATCCAGCTGCCACAGTATTTCAGAGGCAGTGCCGTCATAATGCGCCAAGGGATTGCCCGCATTGCGATACTGGTCCAGCACAATGGAATTGGGTGTCTTACGCTGCAGCTCCTGGGCCACATAAATGAGACCCTCCGGCGAGTCATAAGCAGCCTCCGTGGGCGTGCGAATGATCTTGGCGCCCAGGGCGCGCAGTGCATACACCTTCTCGTTGGACATCTTCTCGGGCATGACAATGATGCACTTGTAGCCTCGCACAGCGCAGGCCATCGCCAGTCCAATGCCCGTGTTACCGGACGTAGGCTCTATGATAGTATAGCCCGGTTTCAAAAGCCCTTTCTCCTCCGCATCCTGAACCATGCGGTAGCCAATGCGATCCTTGACCGAACCACCCGGATTTAAGAACTCACACTTGGCATCTAAATAGGGAATATAACTAATTTAGCATGTTTTGACTAATTAATTATACTAGAATCATGAAGCATTACATGGCACTTAATTTTATTTAAATATAACTAAATAATCAATTTATAAACAAGAGATAGTGAAAGTTAATCAGTTCCAATTATAAAACTGCCGCTCGTGCAAAACTATTCGAAAATAATAATTTTGTATAGTCATAGAATAGTAGATTAGTATAGCTACAGATTAAATAGAATTATTCAATGAAGAAAAACTAGCTAAGGGAAAATTCCCATTATTTTCGTTTTTCATTTTATACTCACACATCTCACACTGAATGCCCTCCTTGGCCGGTATATGGTTGAGCTTGACTAGGGGGGTGCATCCAATCACTGTTAGAATATCCGGCGAAATCTTATTTTCGTGCAGAAAGCCGCGTTGCGTATGCGGCGTCTGCTCCTTGGTACCCAGATGCCAGGTGCATTTTGAGGGTTTGCCCGGATCTATGAAGTTGGCTGGACGCTCGTAGGTCTTGCTCGCTGACATTTTCTGTGGATTTATAAAACGTCGTGGGTGAGTAAATAGTTCAGAGCACGTTTCGTGCTGCACCGCTGCCGGCTGGGATTGGAATGAGTCGCTAGATGTGTTATTCAGCTCACAACATCTGGCATCTGGATTGCCTGGGGTCAGTCAGGCGTTGAACTCAACTTGTATTATCAGCAATTGATATTTTAGTTTATTATTGAATTATATTTGGGCTTAGACGTATCAGCAAATCACGTTGTGTTGTTACTACTGCCATTGTTACCATGTCATCGCCGGTTCTAATTCGCATATTCGAGAGAATTACGTTCTACCAGATTTGAATGATTTTACACTTTTCATTGTTGTTTATAATTAACAAACGAGGTCTAATTCTATGGCTTCGTCTA